CTTATTCTATGGATGTTTGTATATATACAAATACTTCATTACTACAATAATCATTTATGGTAAATAGATGGAGAATGGGGGATTAGGAAAAATAAGAGTTTCCAGAGTTAGTACTAATATAGGGTGAAAAGTCACACATGGCTATTCAGTGGAGTTAAAGCTGGTAAGGGACTGCCCATCACACTTGCTGGACATGGCGACTTGAGAGTGGAGAACCACTGATCTAGTTTCTTTCTACAAGAACTCATGTAATCTGGTGCAAATTCAATCTTTTATATCTCCTCTAAATCAGTAGGCAGATGTCCTACTCTGCTTTTTGCTAAAATACTCAGGTTCATCACATGCAAAATAAGTTTAAGGTTGGTATATATCGAGAATTAAGGATTAAGGCACCTCTAAGCACCTGATCAGACCAAGAATATACTTCACTATCAGTACTGAAGTTACTGCTCTTACCCATTTCTCACACACATCCCTACTTTTCTTTTTGTCCCAGTTTTTTCCAGTTTCATCAGCATGTATTGGGGACTGAGTACAACATTTATATTATTGCTATTGTCTAACAACCTGGAAGCGGAGCTCTTTGTTGTCTACCAAAAATAAACCACATTTCTATCAGTAGATTCTAAATTATTAATTCTAATTTATCTTCTACCCATCACTGTTCTAGAGGCCATGTAAAGAAAACATAGAAATAAACTATTTTATTGTGCTCCTTTGTTTTCCACTTATTAAATAAATTTAATGCTGAAGACACATTTTGTAAATCAATCAAGGATTGGCCCTTAAATATTTCAAGATTTGTTCCTCTGATGTCAAGTATTTTTAAAACCAAAGCTCAAATCAAACAATTATTATATTTTTTAAAATATTACAGACATGACAAAGAGGAAATTAGTTCAAATGTACCTAAGTGAGAGATTCTATTTTCTGATAAACCTTGCTTTCCTTACTTTCATTACCTTGCTTTCATTACTCCAACTGAAACATGGAACACCTTATGTAAACAAAACAAAAAAGAACATGCAATTCTATATATGCCTGTTGGGGGCTAAGTCCCACTGCACATCACCTGATTTATTTCTAAGAAAACATGTACAGAACTGCTCTGCAACTTTACGATATTAATGAATTTCCATATATGGAAATAAATATAAGTCATTTATACTTTATTCAATTCTATTACCATGTTAAAACGTAGAACACAGCTCATTTCCAGAGCTAACATTTCAAGAAAATTATGTTAGTTCCCAATTTCTAACCAAAGTGAATACAGTACTTTCAAACAACTTTTGCTACTCTTCAGTATACAGTACTTTAATACACTTTGACTGCATATTTTCTATACTTACGGTATCACCTTTGGCCTCCATGTTACATGGCTGTCAAGTCAGAACCGACTTACAGCAACCCTAATAAGGCTTTCATGGTAAGTGGGATATTTAATGAGTGTTTTTACCAATTCCACCCATGTCAAGTTTTCATAGCCAAGTGGGAATTTGAACCCAGGTCTCCTAAGCTCCAATCTGTCAAACTATTCACTATGCCACATTGGATATTGTGAATATCACATACTGTCTTCGTTTTTCTAGCCTTTTTTATCAAGAGAAGTTTAAATTTTATGTTGCTAAAATGTTAGTTACCACCATAATGCCCAAGATCCACCCTGAATAGATAGATCTTCTGGAAGTAAGACCTTCCAACCCAACCACTGAATGGAAAAGTCAGGAGTAAATAACATAATAACTCAGATGCCATATTCTGATGACCACTTTCTAATTCCAAAAACTAAAATTGCAGCCTACATATCATTTATGTTGTAATCATAATCATATTTACCTGAAAATATGTTTTCATTGAATTCAGTGAGACTTATTTCTGAGGAGATGATAAACTAAATTGTATTGTTATACTTTGGTCTCTTGTGAATTATTGGAGGGGGTAAACCCACTGAATAAAATGGAACTTATTTCAGAATAAACATGTAAAGACTTACGGTGCCAGATGAATAAATTGCCAAACCGTAGATCAGAACACACCAGTTAGGATGCAGCACAGGAACAAATGAGGGTTAGGAACAATGCTGAACAAAGGCCTTAAGATGGCTTCAATTCCATATGAAAGGTTTAGATTGACAGGTGGGTTCTGGCCACTCACAAAATTCTAATGACTGCTCTCTTCAGCAAACAATTCATAAACCAAAGAACTGGCAATAAGCAGGCCATTTAAAGAGGTCGTTGTTAAATTTTGTTATTGTTTGGTTAAAACATACACCTAAATATAGTCTATGAAATTAGTAACGCAAAACAGTTTTAGGGGAATCAAAATTGATTGAGGATTACTAATATACTATCCTAATAAAGGTGAACATGTGCAAAAAATCTCTGTAATCCAAAACATCCATATAATCTTGTTTCAAACATACTAGACTATGTCAGTGGATGCATACATATACTGTATTGTTGGTAACAGCTGATCAGTATTACTGTACAATTATTACGTTTTGTCATTCTGAAGCCATTGTACTCTAGGCCTCACAACATACGGAACACATACATGAACAGCCTAGTAATGCATACTGTACTATGTTCCCTATCACATGCCTAAGAAACAGGGTGTCAATTATGCAAGACAGTGAAAGCTACCATATGCAAATTAAAAATGTTAATTACAGAGAGAAGGGATTCTACCATTAAAAGATACATCTTTGAACTTTTAAAATGCTGAGGAATTTCAAGAATATCCCAAAACATAAACTTGAAAAATAATAAATATGAAGGTAATAGAAAGCTTTTTACACACTTCATACAAGCATGTTGCTCAACTATATTCAAAAGAATAGGAATTCAGTCTTAATAGATATGTAACAAGGGGTTTGTTAGCTTACTAAATGTAACTATCTTTTGTATAAACCAGTATTCATTTGTCAAGAGCAATCAGCACATTAAGAAATATCACTTTTCTTACAAAATTATGCACAGAAAGTGTACTTAGAAAAAATCCTAGAGAAAAGTTACATACAAAGCCTATAATCCTCAAAACCCCCAGAGATGGGGGGGGGGGAGAGAAGACTCACAAGTTTTAAATGTGTCTTTATAATTCCTTGGAGGCAAGAACCAACCATAGAAATTTTTTTCCAATAAGAACAGACTATTAATAGAGTATAAATGGTTTCATTTGAGAACCTTGTCGTAATCCCAAATGTTCAGACATAACTGGGGTTTTCTGTCATTTTAATATCGTTTCTATGCAGATATCATAGCACTAATTCAGTGCAAAGGCAGAGAGGAACTGTCCACCATTTTAAAAACAAAAGTGAAAAGATTAATAATGGCATACATATGAACTCACTTCAAACATACACACACAACCACCGCAGCTACACAGTCCGTCATCTTTCCCCTCCCATAGGAAGACTGATCTCGTTGATTTGCCTTTCACAAAAATAACCAATAAAATTAACCACCCAGAACACGGCATTTTTAATCGTAGTAGAGACAAGACGTGTTTTGTTCATGATTTGAAAACAGCAGTCTTTTTTTATTTAAGCATATTAAGCCTATAATGTGCTGCAGACAAATGCACTGCATGGGGTGTGGAGGACCCAAGCTGATTAGATTACCACAACATCAGCCTGGGGCCGCCATTTTTAGAATCTCCAAAGGACAAAAGAGGGAAATTACAGTTTTTTTACTCCACTTTTACCAGAAGTAAGTTTTAAAGTATTATGTATGCCGTCCAGCACCCTTCGTGGGTCATCTATGTTCCCAGACAATGCTTCCATTTCTCTTACGTACGCTTTTATAAGAGGCGGCTTTCCAGTATTAATCTCTTTAAAGATAATTTAAATGAACTGAGAACAAAACACCTAAATTCAGACACTTTATTACGAATACTGTGCTTTAAAGAGTGGTCTGTATGAACTGGAGCGACTTCGCTTTTAATCAAGACACATTCCTTGACGATTGAGTACTGAGAAGTACGGGACCTTTCTAATTGGACTATATTACGTTTCTTCTACCCTACTTAGTACTACACAGTGGACCGTTTGTTTCTCTCCCCCCCCCCCCC